GAGTTGAGGGATGAAGATCTTTACACCAAAAATGTAGATCAGCCACACAATCTGGGTGATGGAGGGAAGGTAGAAGGTGGGATTTGGCGACAGGGCTATCATGGAACTTTGTCTGAAGTGGAGCAAGCCAAATATGTTCTAGATTGTGAGTCAAGTTGTCTCATGGATTGTTTCAGAACTAAATATTATACAGCAGCACAAGTACAATGGCACCGTGCTCATGCAGATATGGAACGATGGCAAGAAGTGGAAATCCTTGCACAAGAGTTCTGCCGCACAATTCAAGGATTCAACAAAATGGAAACCGTCTCGACTGCTCTTGCTCATGACCATGAAGAAGAACCAGGAAAGAAGGCTTACGCCTTGAAGGTGGCAAACATGTATCAGGAGATGGGGAAAGATGCACAGGAGAAATTCGCAAAAATGGGTGGCACTTGGCCCAGAGCTGGAGTTAGTCTTGCCCAACACATCAAATCCGATCAGAAAATTGATTGGGATGCTAGCATGGCTGAGGGCAACTGAATGTAATAAACTATTACAATTCCTGTATTCTATTTCATCTTGTGATGTGAAAAGTCAAGCACCACCCAAGCTATGGATCTGAGATTTTTGTCTAACCATGGTCAGTTCAAACCATGTATGGTTTAAAGAAATGTGGTACCTTGGTTCCACTACAGAACAACAGACAACCTAAAAAATAGTTTAAACTGGATCAAACAACCCTGGTTTAAACCGGTTTAAACAAACATGTTTTGAGCTGACCATTACAGAACAACAGACAGTCTAAATAATGGTCTAAACCAGTTCAAACCGCCCCTGGTTTAAACCAGTATGGTGCAAACTGACCTTGGTTCCATTACAGAACAACAGACAGCCCAAAAAATGGTTTAAACCGGTTCAAACCACACCTGGCTTAAACTGGTTCAAACCACAACAGTTGGACATACAAATGGTTCAAACCATCACGGTTTAAACCGGTTCAAACCACAACAATTGGACCTACAAATGGTTTAAACCATCATGGTTTAAACTGGTTCAAACCACAACAGTCAGACCTTCAAATGGTTTGAACCAGTTCAAACCACAACAATTGGACCTACAAATGGTTTAAACCATCATGGTTTGAACCGGTTTAAACCACAATAATTGGATCTACAACTGGTTTAAACCATCATGGTTTGAACCGGTTTAAACCACAACAATTGGACCTACAAATGGTTTAAACCATCATGATTTGAACTGGTTTAAACCACAACAATTGGACCTACAAATGGTTTAAACCATCATGGTTTGAACTGGTTTAAACCACAACAGTTGGACCTATAAATGGTTTAAACCATCACGGTTTAAACCACAATGGCTTAAACCTTGCTTTCTATATGGCTTCCACAGGGGCGGTTTGAACCAAGATGGTTTAAACCATGCCCATCGTTGGAGACGATATGGTTTAAACTCAAACCCTCCTAGAGTACAAGAGTTAAACACTGATCGTTGAAAAGCGGTCTGATTGTCAGGAAACTCGCTAGATTGAATTGAGCCAATCCTATGAAAGTGACAGCTGAAACTATGGATGCTTCTCCCACAGTAGCACATCATGTTTATGACCAGTGTCCCGGAAGATTGCATGGAAGCTGTGATACCGTTCCTTCTTCCGCCACAGGCGGAAATCACTTCTGTATAAGTGACTGGCCGATACACGGATGGCCTATCCGGTTTTCTTCCTTACCCAGTTTACTATCATGGATGTGACTATAGGTAAGCTCTCAGTTTTTTTTTATTGACCACTTTTGAGAGGGTTTCGTAGGTTCCATAGAGATCGGAACACTGCTCTTGGGAGTCTTGTTTGGTCTGATCACGTCCCAGACCTATGTGTACTTCAAAGGCTACCCGAAAGACTCTCAATTCACTAAAGTGCTTGTATGTGGTGCCTGCTTTGAAAAAACGTGTGGTCATTGACTGTCGACTATGCAGGTCGGCACGCTATGGTTCGTTATTCGGATCACCGTACATCTGAGTATGTCTGTTACTAAATCCCATCCACAGGATCATTGAACTGGTGCATACTGCCTGCATCTTCGACGCCCTCTACATGTATACAGTGAGAGGATACGGAGATCCTGCCTATCTCATCCAGTTCCCTATGGCGCTGGATGTAACGATCATCCTTCATGGTGCTACTGTAATTATTGGTCTGTATGACTTCAGGTTCACTCCACAATATTACTGACCTGAAACCAGTCCAACTCTTCTTCACATTGGATGTCCAAATTCATTCAAAAAACATATTACATCTCTGCAATTGCAATTGTCATCCTATTTGTGCGCTTTATAGTGTTTGTTGTTTCAGGCGTGGCTGCAACTAGGATGTCAACCCTCGTGGACTTCATGCACTCCTGGAAATCGCTGATTCTCTTCGATCTCACCTCTTGTGCCATAACGGATGTGATTATGTCGGCCATTTTGGTCCATCAACTTTCAATGCGCCGTTCAGATGCGTATAGGAGGTGTGTGTGCTTCTATGTTCTATCCTGGGCAGTTACTTATGTCGACACATTCAAGTACCCTGGTGATCATGGATAGGCTTATTATGTGGTCTGTGGGTGAGTGTTCCTACTTCTACTCGGGATTGGGTGACTTCCCGTAAGGTAGATTTATCCCCCCAGAATATTTCGGGGCGATGCCGGGGCAGCTGTCAGGACCCCATCATTGGATCACCCACAAATGAACCGATTTTATTCTGAATCGCCCCAATAGATTAAATTTCTGGAGAGGGGGTAGCTACCCCCCCTCCAGAATCTGTGTTTCCTGAATATAAAAGACACGAACGACGCGAATATCTGTCGTATTGATGTCATCACTGGCACCCTCAAACAGGCTCGGAAATTCCGCAGGAATATATTTATCTTACGGGAAGTCACCCATTTCTTCATTTTTAAAAATGAACAGAAACGTGCCTTGTGACGACGTTTGTGGCACCATTCAGTAATATTTAGCCTCACTGACTCATCGTCCTCTAGATTCACCACTATTACCATGATGATCTGCGTGCGTTTTATCTCAAACATCCACGTCTTAAATTTGGTCTGACGCTGTGCCAACAGTTCCTCACTATGGGGGACAAGAACTGTGAGTTTCTCGTGCGGCTCTCCTGGCGACTCCATTCATGTGAAAATAGTCATATGGATTGGAATACTCCTCGTCCAACCAAAGAGTTAAAACTCCACTCACGAATTCTACGAGTATCCTAACAACCTGTCATCTAGTCTTTTCAAACACTTTATTAGCCAAGCGAGTCCACATAACACACATTTTGTCTTACAATCCTAACACCTCCGATATAGTCTGAATTCCCGGGCAAGTCTCAGGGAATTCGGGGCAGATGTTCAAGAGATGATGACGGTATGTTTATTTTTTGGAAGCATCTACTCGAGGACTCATTATTATGGGTGCATTCAGTCCACACCTTTACGTTTCACGCCTGGAAGTGGTGCCACTGCCAGCAAAGCGTCTGAGGCGTTCACCCTCAAAGTTCATACTGGACAGTCAATTGAGGACAAATTTCAATCAGAAGGAAATCCAGACGAAGTCGAGCGGGCTCACGCCATAGTATTCAACTCATCTCCTGAGACCCCAGATGGAAGTACATTCAAGGTTCGTTTCGGTGTACCGTTATGTAAATCGAGAGACTGAGGTCATGTTCATCGTCTATAGGAATATACTCAGCACGACTCGGTATCAATGGTCTAGCTGGAGGAATGCGGTCGAGGCTTTCCTTTGATACATACTGGCTTGTTCTAACTTCTAATAGCTGTACTGGTCTCTCCGTATTTTAAACTGTTGGCTCTTTAAATTCTTTACACCTCAATTGATTGTAGTATTGCAATACTGTATGTCGGCAACAAGCTTCTAAGATTTTTGGACCCCAAATTTCAACCACGCTCTCACGTGCTTATCCGGACGGAGCGGAATAGAACGGATCATTGATTTGCACCAGTAGCCGATCTTTGCCGATCCCAAATCAAAACTTGCTCCCTTCTTGCCATGCAGGTGTTGCGTCCCAGCCGTCCCTCTCCATACTCACACGGCTATATCATCAGGCCTTACTTAACCATGTCATGAATGTGAGGAAGTGGGCCCCAAAATAGAAGTAGGCGACTCGGAAGGAATGGTTGAACTGGGTTTCAACTTTCAGAAACCATGTAACATGTTCGATGCCAGTCTATATTATACCCATGTCGGAGGGAGATGTGGATCCGACGAGCGAAAGTATCCAGTGGAGAGTCGGGTCGAGACCGGAGTTACTCCGAAAGAAGAAGACGAAAAAAACAGGTTATGGCCTAGCCCCGGGGTCTTCCTTCGAAAATTTAAGATCCAGCTCCAATACTTCAAAAGACTGTAATACCACTACACCACCAAGCCTTTCCTAGACTGTCATTAATACCAGTAAGTAGGTTGGATCCAATGAGCGAAGGTATGTTGGGAAACGAGAGTGGAATGGCACGAACAGAAACAGACGAAACAAAAAAAACCAAAGAGAGCAGCTCCATGGCCTGGCCCCAGGTCGAACGGAAGACTTCCTCGAAGATGGTGAACGAATAGATAAAGGGCCATACTTGCAGAAGGAATGGTCGAGCCCGATTTCGGAAAACCATGTTATAGATTCACCAGTTTAGATTACACCCATGTCCGAGGGAGCCGTAGATCCGATGGGAAAGCATACGAGGGAGGCGAGCTGGATTTGAGGGGGGGGGGCAAGATTGGTTTGTGGTACCATTCCACTGCCAGCTGTTGCTTAATCATGTCGTGAATGGGAGTATGAAGAGTGAAAGAGGCGAACGGAGAAGGAACCGTTGAACTCACTTAAAAATTGCTCAGATGAGCGGATCATCCACCCGAACTGAAGCATATTCGTGCCAGAGCCATGCCGGATTTGCGGCAATAAAATAAAATGGCACCATGACGAAAATAGAAAGAAAAAGGAGAAATGCAAGTGCAGCATATGGCCTGGCCCTGAGTCGAACAGGGAACATCCTCAGAACGAGCCACTCCGTATACTGTCGTAGGGTATACTACCATTACACCACCAGGCCATGGTGGTAGTGGCCACAACTCGAGGTAGATAGGGAGGTAGGTAGGACATGTCAAAATCAATTGGGTCCGTTCGGAGACGAGGGGAGAGGGAAGAGGACGAGGCGCGGCAGAAATACAGGAATTGCAGTAGAATGTTGCCTAAGATGAGATGAGGACAACAAGGCGCAGAGGAGAAGCAATTCGGAGTTTCGCGATTTTCTTCGAGAGAACTTGTTTACTTGAACGATTCAAGTAGATAAATCGGAAGATACCTTCGTTCCCCGGATACATCGCAGGCCGTAAAAAGTGGTCTGGAAAAACGAAGGATGTAATTGTTAGTAGAAAGTCGAACGAAATATTGCAGCTACTTAGACTGAGCTGACAATTGAATTGATATTTGACTTTCAAGACGGTTGGAAGTATATATCGTGGTCCGGGAATCGAATCGTCTTTGCATGGTGGTCGGGATGAAACGGCGAAAAATTACGTCACACGGGGTGGCAGTGCCGGCTTGCACGACGACGGTCAATCCTCGCCTTGTCCTCACCGTCCTCTTCACCATGTCCGCCTCCGGTAGCAACGCTGCTTCTAACTCTGCCGTATCCGTCTCTAACACCAACGCCAATACGGTGACCGCAACGGCCTCAAATGCGCCCTCCATTGCAGAGACCGACCCCGCCGGCGGCGTGACCATCACCCAGCCGCCCCAGACAGCCACCTCGTTCTACAAGATCGCCCAGGACAATACCATCACGATTGGCTGGAATATGACAGACGTGATCGCCACCCCGACCTCCCTAACCCTCAGTGCCGTCTGCGCGAACGGGAACACCTATGCGGTGGGGCCGGACAGCCAGGGACGCGTCCCGGGGACGGCGACAAATGTCGAGTGGGATTTGTATTCGTATCAGCAGGTCTCTTTTCTTTCTGAAAAATTGAATGGATGGGGACTGACTTGCGCGTAGGCACACTCAGCAACGCCGCTGCCGCAAGCGACGTGCACGTTGCACATGTGGGACGACCGCGGGCCCTCTGCGACCGAGCGCGCGGGGTACATGAGTCCTAATACCGCGCTGGCGTTTGCGCTCTATACTCCCCAGGCGTATACCCCGTTGGCGAGCGGTGAGTTTGGTTTCTGTTCTGTCGTTCCTTTCCCTTGCTCCATTCAATCCCTCACGCTTCCGTCCCCACCGTGATTTCTTCATCCACCTCTTCTTTTTGTCCCCTTGACGCCCTTCTTCTTCCCTCTTCCTTCACTACGCGTCCCCTCCCTCCCTGCCCTTCAATCCCCCGTCCCTTCCTCCCTCCCACCCGTCCTTGGCCTACTCCTCCCACCTTCGTCCCCATTCACCGCTCTCGGCATCGCTCCTCCCCTCCCCTCCCTCGCGCCGCCGCCGCCTATATGTCCCACGCGCTGCACATGCCATGCGCGACGAGATTGGCCTCTTCTCTCCTTCCCACGGGGCGTCCTCCTCCCTCCACTCCACTCCCCCCTCACGTCCCATTTCGCTCCTCTGTCCCTGCTGCCCCGCATCTCCCCCTGCCCACTATTCACGCATTCTCCCCTCCTCCATCCCGCCCTCCCTCCGTCTTCTCCTTTCTTTATTTTTCTTCCCTCCCTATCCCTCTCGTCCTGTTCCCCCTTCCCCGCTCCTCCCTCACCTTTCCGCCCTCCTCTCCTCCCTCCCGTTTCCCCCCGCCCTCCTCCCCCCACCCGTACCAACTACTAACCCACTTCCTCAGGCTGGACCTGCACAGGCTGCAGCGCCGCCCTACGCACGATCGGCGTCGCGCCGCCTGCGTTCGCGGGCCTGCTCGTGACGCTCGTGGTCATGCTGTGGAGCGGGGTAAGGGTTTTGCGGCGCTGAGCATCCCATACACCCTTGGGACTTATGGACTTGTGTCGGGTGATTGGTGGTCGGTGGTCGGTGGTGGTGCGGAGTAGCGATTACAGTTTACAGTTTAGGACTCATCACGACTTGCATACGGACTACGAACTACGTAGCTACATTTTGGTTCCGGTATTGCATTATGAGAATGGTTTTGGTTTGGGCTTTTTGTGGTTCTCGGAATTTGTCTGAAGCCGGATCGTCGGATATGGCGTTATTTTTCGCTGTTTAATATTACTTTGTGGTCAGTAGGTCAAGTGCGGCAAGTTCTTACTTTCGTAACCATACCCCGTAGTCGTGCCGGAAGTCGGTAGTTTATAGCTGGTACACGGCATTTCCAAATCGGTACAGTATTACTCATGCTTTTATTTTGTACTCACCAGTGCCGCTATACCATGGGGAGCTGTCCGACCATGGTTGATGGCATAGTCGCGGACCCCCACGCTCTCCCCACGTCATCAACCACGGTCAACCACGGCAGGAAGAAATCTGCAACATGAAGGGGACTTCAACGACATTTCAGCTCCTGCCTGTGCCGACTAGGAGCGGTTTAAAAACCCTGGGTCCTCCTCTTTTTGTTTGAACTTTTCCCCTGTAAAGAGAATATCCACATCGTTCCTCATGCCTCCAGTGGGTCGATCTATCTTGAATTTTCTGATGTTCACGCATTTGTCCAGCTCAGTTTCCAACAATGGCAGGAGTATCAGCGATTCCTCGCTGATAATCCTGATGTCAGCACTACTTCTGCTCCCCCACCGACACCGACTCCAACTGCCCCGACTCCTACCGCACCGGCACCAGCTCACAGTGAGCCACAAGGCCAGTCTTTATGGTCATGGTCATTTTCCGACTCACATACTGCTGTAGCTGCAGCTCCAGTCACCCATGCGTATCAAAGCAGCAGGATCCATCCTCCTCCCCTCATCGCACCAAGCTCCTACCAGCCCTTTTTGGGCATGGCGCCTTCGGCTTCGACGCTCGCCCAATCTCACTTCAATCGGGAGCGGCTCCTTCCTTCTACTTCGAATCTGCAGACGTCTCAGGCCAACGATGACCGTCTCCGACATGCTGCACTGGGAAGCATCAACCCCAACCATGTTGCGAGGCGCACCCGTGGCCCAGCGCAGTCGGCCCCGACCCTTCCGCACAAGATCAGGAAGACCACTCGGCCTTCCATTGACCAGTGCCTCGTCGTGGATGTGGAGACTCCAACGGTCAAGGTCCTTGTTCTGGTATACCCACCCTTCGTATGTGACTCTCCAAATTGTCTTCTCCTCTTCTCAGATACCTCTTTTCAGGATCCAGAGGGTGATTATCAAGATCACCTCGTATACCGGACCCTCCACACCGACTTTGTCGCAGTCCTTGAACAAAAGCACCTGGTATACCGGTATCAACTCACCCTTGCTTCCACCGTCAACGACATGTTGATAGGAGTTGTTGGCGACATGGCAGCATCGGCGGCCCACTATGAGTTTGCTTTGGCACGTCGAACCCTCAGCTCCAACCTCACCACCAATCTCCAGGTCCTGGGCTTGGTCGACAGAGGCCGGGTCCACAAGAAGCTCGGAGTACACGCCCACATAGAACCTCACACCCTGCAGACTACAGTCGGAGACCTTGCGGGAGACCGCAACCGGTTTTCACATGAAGTGAACATTAAGGATAGCGAGTGGATTCTACGCGTTGGTGAGTTGACTTCTTCTCCACTTTGCTATTCACTCATTTTTATTATGCAGCTGTGATGGCTTACCCTCTCATTGGTCTCTCAGACGATGGCCGCCGTCACAGCTGTGTGTCAGCCCGTATATACAGCTTGCCTTCTGACTGTCATTGCTTTTGTACTCACCTAACTTTTTAGCACAACAGAGAATGCCATTGGGGAAGGGCCAGAACGCGAGGTCCTCTTTGTCCTTCTTCAGCGCTTCTTCAATCAAGAGGCCTCTTGGTTTCAGCGCGGGGAGGGCAACTTCTTGATGCTACGCCCTTTATTCTCCATCTCTGCTGCTATGCCCATTCCTGTTCAGCGTCTCACCGACTTCAAGTGCCTCGGTGCTGTTTGCGGCCTGCTCATGATATTTGGGCGGTCTCCTGCTCCAATCAGCCCTGCAATTTTCCAGTATATCATCCACGGCGGCAATCTCCACTCCCTCCATCCTACCTTTGTGGGGGAGTGGTTTCCGGAGCTGCGGTCCCTCATCCTCGACTTTCTCGCCCTCGGACCGGACAGCAGTCTCGCCCGATTTGAGACTCATTTTGCAACGTACCACAACACAGAGGCAAGTTCCTCATTCTTTTTCTTTAAATCCTTTTCTCACCACATGCCAGGCCTCTGCATTCAGAGGTCGCAACCTGACCGCCCATCTGGCGCTCGCTGTGACAATGCTCTTCAAGCCAACCCTTGGTCCAACGACGTTTGACCATCCTGAAATACAGAGCTTCATTACTGGATTCCAGCTGCAATGCAGAAACGGTTTCAATCTCCCTTATGTGAGTGTTCTCCAGCATTTGGATGACCTGAGCTGAGAGCCAACATGCGCTACAGGCTCTCCAGAATTTCGAAGGTGGCTCCGAGCCCTGCCTCAGCCTCATCGCTTCCTCCTACATCTCCTCCCCAGATGCTCTCATCTTTAACCTCTAATACATCAATCCGACACAGGCCAACCTCGACACTTTGCGGGCCCACACCCTGGATGTCACTCTCACCTTTACCATCTTGGTTGAGAGATTTCTTCACGGTGCTGGCATCCCTTGCCCTCTGCAGTTCGAACCGTCGCGCGGCGCTTTTCACGAGATTATCGACCTCAGCCTCATCAATGCTCCCAACTTTCGCGCTCGGATGTTCGCCTGGGCCGCCACTGGTTCCCCGTTCCTTGACAATAGTGGCAACAAGATTAAGGTGAGTTGTCTGAATTTCTTACATTCACTCCTTTCTTCTCATACTTTGCCTCCAGGTTGGCCCCATTGATGCTCGCGACACAACCTATGCCACCGCCGACAGCCGAGAGCTGAACACGGCCAATGGAACCGTCCTGTTCCGCACCGCCCGCTATCCGGTCCAGTATGTTCTTTCGCTCGCGCAGGCACAATACAGTCCCCAGTCGGAGCCTGCTAACTTCCAGGAGGCGTTT